GTTTTCTTCCCAGAAGACTTCTAATGTATCCCCAGATCCTTCCTTTACAAAAAGAGTTAAGCCAAAATGAAGGTAGTTCTGAATGAGGTCACTCTTCTAGGATTATACCTAGCCTTACTTTTCTTTCAACCACTATATTATATTCATTATTCTGTATGATTCCTAAATTTCTATTTTTAATTTAGCCTTTCCGAGTTTTAAGTGTTTCATCATAGTGGCTTGGATTTGTTCCAATCCTATGATTATCTCTCTATTAAAACTTTAATACAAAAAGAAATTTAAAAAAACAGACTGCTCATTACTTTGATTTGTAGCACAAAGAGAATGGAACATTACTGCTAGAGTGTTTCGAGAAACCATATTTACATTTGCATCAGCTCAATTTAGGGGCCTGATTAGGTTGCACGTTATGATGAAGATGCACTTACCAGTCAAAGGGAAGTGGCAGAGGCTAGAGTAATGAGCAGGAGACTTCAAGTCAGGAGCCCCGAGTGCTATTTCTGGCTGTGACTGGCTACAACTCTGACCTTGAACAACTCTGTCTCACTGCTTGAGACCCTAAGAGCCCCATCTGCCTTGGAGCATGGCTATGAGTGGCTGGGAACTTAAGTATTTATTGTAGTGGGGCTATGGAGTGAAGTGAGGGCACTTGGGGGTCACAAATGGAACTGGAGACAGGATCTCTTCTCCCACTGGTACCACTAGCCTATTGAGAGATAGTGTCTAAGAAGTGGGCTGATTGCTCAGATCATGTTTCTACTGAGGGAGAAGTTAGTCATGCTAGGTTAGTCAGCGAGGTTTTAAAACTTTTAGGTAAAATGCTAAGGTCACCTTAGTGGTTAGGAGAGCTTAACCAGACAGCACATGGTCTCCTCTTAGCAGCCTTATCAGAGACTGTGTGTTTCATTCCTGGGTCCAGGGAGCATACTGAGGCCAGCCTCTAGAGGACATGCCTAACATTGCTGCTCAGCCACCCCTGGTGATAGGAGGGAGAATTAAGCCTAGTATATGCTAATATATGCTGAAATCCAACTTGTTCACTTTGATAGTCCAAATGGCCAGCAGAATATGTGCCAGAGAAGACACAATTGTTCTCCAGTTGAGATTCTCTCTCTGTTAAAAGTTAGATTGAAGGGTAAGGGTGAATGGGCTTTAAAATGACAAATAGGAGAACAATTCTCCCCCTTTTAATTTAGGTTGCTGTGTGCTAAGCGCTCAGCAGACATTATAGCAATGGTAACACCTGTGGTTCCCACCTCACTGCCATTCTTGTATAGACTATTGCTTATTGAGGACAATCTAGTAAGAATAGGTAGTATTCGTTAAACGCTATTCCAAGTATCTTGTATCAATTAATTCATTTACATCAGTCCTTAGGCGGGTACTATTATCTTTAAGAGTAAGGACATTAGAAAGTAAGGACATTAAGTTATACAAGTTAGATAAAGACATTATAACAAACATTGTACAACTAGTAAACTCCAGCTTCAAGACTAAAACCCCACCATCTAGCTCTAGAGCCTTTACCCTTGAACACCTACATCTATAGAAAACCAGTATATTGAAACAAGCAATTCTCTTTGGAAGTCCACAGCTGGAGAGATGAAGTTATTCTGGAATGATTAGACATCTCAAAGTGAGAATGCATTCTGATACCTAATTAAGAATGCATAGAATTCTGTGGGTTGATTGAGAACCTTGCCGTGCAAAGTTCAGCAAATAGAAAGGAAGAAAAGTTTCTTTCCTGTTGAGTCAGTTTCAAGTAATTCTGAACCTTGAAGTTCAATGCCATTCGAAAAATCTTATTTTTTGCTATCACAATTCATCCCCGTTTTTCTGTAAGAAGCATGCATTGATACTGTTTGATTTCTATATAACAACACCTCCTTAAAGAATAAAACAAATGACTAAGTCTTCTTGAAACCCAATAGTTTTCCACAAAGCCTTTCTCATAGTCTGTCAGCTTTTTCTTCTCTGCCCTTTTGTATAGTAGTGAAGAAATTTGAGAATGACTCAATATATGTTTTACCAATTTTCTGTGATCAGATTTAGTTAGCATAAGCGAAGTCCTGAATTTTTCAGAGACAATTGCCACTAGATACAGAAAGAAAAGAGATACAAGAAAATTCCCAGTAGGATCATTAGAGCCCTATAAATATCTATAAAGCCACCATTTTTGCTTAATCACCAAAGGCAAATCTTCCAGAATGCTCCCTGAGCAGTGGCAAGTGACCATTATTCTCTCTTTCTCCACCAAAGGGCACAAATCAAAATACTGCATTCCTGTCAGAATGACTGGTTACTGTTTCCCCAAGTACAGGTTCATGTGTAATAACTGACCCTAGAGAAAATGAACGGCACAGTGTAAGAGCTTGTCACATTAAATGATCAGAAAACCATTACCACCTGATAGAATGGTTGATGGTGCAGAAGTGATTACAGATATTCCCCATGGGCCAGCTCTGAGCAGCTGCCCAGGCGTTAACTGGCTTCTAGGCTATCCAGATTAGGGACTGGGGCTTAGTTGGGGAATAAGGGCAGGATCTACAAAGAGGAGAAAGAAACTGGTGGCTTAGTTCTCTCTTTCTATAGCTCTTTGAAGGGAATAGGAGTTTTAAGGTTCCCAGTCTGAATTCATTTCTAATATATTTTTCAAAATTATTTTTGTAATGACAGTGCTTCTGTGAGATTTGGGATAAACCAAATAGTTGAAGGTAAGTTAAATCTCATTGTACTGAACTGGAAAATTTCTCTACTTATACATATTCTGGGGGATTTCCTAGTTATTTTGGGTGGGGGAGGATGGAAAAAGACATTTGTTGATAAGATTCCACCCTAAATTTGTCTTACAGAAAGTTTGTGGGCCATATGTTTAGAATTTTGCACATTTACTGAAAATTGAGTTAATAGTATACTCTATTCTTCACTGATCTGCTTTTACCTGAGCAGAAGTTAACTCAGCCAACCCCAGCCTGTTGGCCAATTTTTCTCAGTGACTCTACATGAATCTCTGCTGTATTCCTAGAAGAAATACAAGGACCAAAGCCACCTGAGCAGGCAGTGTAAACTTTATCCCTTCCAGAATCAGGCTGGAACTAAGCAGAGTGGGGAAATTTGGCCAGAAAGGAAGGGTAGGGGGGCCCCTGATGCACTGCTGGCCCCTCAGCTGCCCAGTCTGGTCCCCTGTGTTTGCTTCCCAGCTTGACAAGTTGTGAACCTTGTGAATGTTCTCTTATTAGGGAATCTTCCTGTGCTGAATGCTCCTAAGCCTTGTTTCTGAGATCCCATTTTAACCTGAACATGTTGCACAGTTACCACAAATATTAGAAATAAAAACTCCTAGGGAAAAAAGCTATCTTTAATATCACTAACTATATTTTAAGACCTCTGACTCTGAAGTCTATTAGATATTAAACCTGTGTGTCTGTTGCCAAGTTGTATAAGTTTTCTGAGCCTCAATTTCTTCATCAATAATATGGGTTTTTAGAAGGATTAAATGAAAGAAGTGATTTTTCCCAAGTCAGATGAAGTGCTGTATAAATCTAAGGCCAAGAGATAGCTCAGCCAATAGTGGCATTTGTGGAAAGGACTGAAGACCTGTGTCCCATCTCAGATCACAGAGAGATCACTCATGGGGATACTGCGCAGCTTGTGAACCTACACTCCTACACACATGCGTGCACACTAAATAAATAATAAATAAATAAGTAAATAAATAAATAAATAAATAATATTTTAAGTGCTTAATCAGACAAGAGATCCAAAGACTTTAAGCATGTTTAGAAGACTGGAAATGCACATGCCAAATTGTGAACAACAGCAATGCCTAGGTGCTGAAATAGTGGCTTTGTTTTAGTTTCCCTTTGTGCTTGTCCATGTTTTATCCCTTTTGTTCTGTACTAAAACCAATTTAGAAATGATGCCTTTAAATATTTTATCTATTATTTTTATTTATGTGTATGAATGTATTGCCTGCATGTATGTGAGTGCACTCATGTTGTGCAATGCCACGGAGATCAGAAGAGGGTGTTGGTTTCACCTGGAACTGAAGTTAAAGACAGTTGTTATCCACTGGGTGGGTGCTAGGACTCGAACACGGGTCCTCAGTAAGAACAGTCAATGTTTTTAACTGCTGAGCCATCCCTCTAGTCCAGGAAAATGAATGTCTTTAAATAAAAGGGAAAAAAATCAGTAAAGATCCCAGGTTGTTCAAAGATGCCTTTAGTGCAGATAAGCAGAAAAAGAGATGACAGAAAGGCAATGCAGAAGGGTCAAGGGGAAGTTTAGAATCAGGCCGTGCTTGTGGGCAGCCTCGCTAGCACACCATGATGAGGAATTAAAGGAGTGTTTCACTTTTCCAGTGCTGGGCTAGCAGCCAGGAATAAGCGCTTAGTTTATCCCACATCACGTAGACCCGGTAGGACTCACCCATTTGACGTTCAAATGGGATGCTTCTAGAATTGGGCCTGGGAAGCTGGGAAGGTACACCCATTCCATGACTGAACCTAGGTGAGCATGTGGTATTGTCCCGGGTGAGGGCAGGTTTGTCCCTCACCCTGAAGAGCTCCCCAGACCTCTGACGCAGGAGCTGAAGCTGCCTTTCCTTCATTTGCATGGCTAAGTAATTACAACTCATAAAAGTATCTAACCCATTAGTTAAAACTGGCCCTAGCATTTGACTCTGACCTCCTACGGCAGCCTGGGCCACACGCTGACTCCATGCCGCCTGATTTGTCCTCAATTTATAAGCAGAACAACCTATAAATAGAAACCATTTTTGCTAAGTCCCCAGGAGGCATCAGCAGGTTTTCTAGCTTGTGTGTGTTTTCTTCTTTCTTTTTTTAAAAACACCAACATGGCAGGCTTATTTCCTTGCCTGATGTTTCTCCAGCTTTCACTTCTAGTTCAGGTTGAGGGCATTCTGGTTAGCTTAGGGCTTGAGGCTGGCTCACCAGTCGGGTACAGCCTAGGCTGGGCACTGTCACAGAGGCCCCACTTACCTGTAGATTCTGTACCTGGTGGTGAACCCCTGGCGGTATCGCTCCATGAAATCAGCATACTCCTGAGCGCGGTGGAAGGGTCCCCGGTCTGTGAGCAGCCAATCCAGGGGAGCCTGGCCAGCCGAGGACGCATGCTGCTCGGGGACCACAGCAGCCACCGTGGCCGACACAGCCAGCACCCAGCCGGGCAGGCCCAGTGCCAGCAGGGCAGGCCAAGGGGCGGCCGCCGGCCGAAGCCCTCTAAACCGAGAGCCGCACTGCCACCTCATGCTTCTCCCGGGCGGTTGGTGTCTTCATTATCTCGCCAAGCTCTCCCACTCCGTGCTGCTCCTCCAGGGCTCCGAACTAGAAAAGTACAAAGGAAGATGTGAGATGGGTACAGGATTAGATCCCTTGTGACTCTGAGAGCATCAGATGTCACTGGACAGAGAACTCCACCCTAGTGACTGAATATAACCAATATGGTCTTAAGGCACTAAGCTGAGTGCTCTGTGCATATTATTTTATTTCTTCAAACATGAACTTATGAGGAAACACTATTGTCAGCATTTTGCAGATGAGAAGAGGAGACTTCGGTTAAGACAGTTAAGTTCACACAGCTATTAAGAGGGAGTCCCATTGCTGAGATATGAATCCCAGATCTTAGGTTATATTGCTCCCATCTTTCCAAGCTGGACTCACACACCATCCGTTTCTGTCTTTTTCATAAAAATGTTCGAACGCCTCTGTAGTTGCCTCTAGACTGAGTGCTGTATCAGAAGCATGACATGAAACAAGGAGAATTTGCAGGACAGAAAAGTAGCCACATCCTGTGAAGCCAAGAGAACCTGGGCAAATGACCCGCCTGTCTGGGTCCAGGGATAATATCTAAGCTCTCTTTTGGGATTGGAAATCCAATCTGTTCTTTTACTGAAGGCAGTACAGGGGTAGAGACAGAACGAAAAACGAATGAGGATCATCTTGCTACATAGGAGGATTCCTCAGTATGCTCTCTCCCCCCACCAAACAGCACAAGAACCTCAGAGGGCCATGCTGGATCTCATTTTTTTCATCCTTTATGCGCAGCTCCAGAGAGCACAGCGCAGGCCTGCAGACATCCTTCTTGAAGGAATGAATGAATACTTGCCCTGCCCTCTCGGAGGTGGAGGGAAGATGCCAGTAAAAAGTATGATCTTGGCCTTCTGGATTCCTGGCTGCCTTATGACTCATCATGGGCCTCTGATGTCCAGTGCCTACACTTTGTCTAAAGACAACTAGTCACCTTTATCAACCTCTAGATGTAAGGGATCATTCAGTACCACGGGGCTTCCTGGAACTGCAGCGTTTCTTCAATCTTTAATTTCTAGCACATGCTGTCAGAGCTCTGTCCTGTCCCCTCTCCAGCACCACTTCAGAGCGTGCCAGAATGACTTCCAGTGCCTAGTACCTGTAATTCATGGCCTGACTCTGGCTGCCAAAGCTCAGAGACAGGCTGCCTGGGGGTGAGGCAAGGGTGTTAATTCCCTGAATTTCCAGTATCCTGCCAGGGCTGGCAAAGTGGGCTTCAGCACCTGATTCATTCTCCCTCCTGGAGTCACCTCCTCTCCTCCCAGACCTGAACACTCTGAAATGCTTTAGCTCACAAAACCAGCAAACTTTCCTGGGATCAGAGGACCCAGAAGGGCCTGCTGGAACTAAGTATGAATCCTGAAATGCCCAGCTTCAAAGCTATACTGAGTGTGAGAGACAGCGGCCAGAAATGCTATGGTTTTTTTTCAGAATTCCTGCATATAAGGATGGAAGGAAGGAAGGAAGCAGAGAGGCTAAAATTCAGACAACCCTCCCTCTAGCTGGTAAGTACCGATTTTCTGCTAGGTGCTGGAAGATTCTTGGATGCTCCCTCCATTCTGGAAGCTTGTTATGTAGGCACTGTAATTACAAAGTTATGTTATGATGGGACCCAGAGGAGTTGAGCTAGGAAAATACAGAAAGCAGATTACAAACCTCTATCTGGCTTCTTGTTCAGACCTTGCCAAAGAATGCTATGCTGTGTGGAGAGCCATAGCGGGGTAAGAGAGACCCCCCATCTAATGAACTGGCCAAGTGTGTGGGGGGTCTAGAAGAATAATGAGGCACTTGCCCCTTCGGATTTTAAAACATAATTAAAATCAGTGATGCTCACAAATTGGACAGGTTGATCAATTAAGTAGGGCAGCTCAAAAGTAAACCTTCCACAGAAGTGGGTGTGTGAAAACAAAGGCATCCAGACTAATTGGGTAAGGATAGAATATTTTATACATATTATTGCGAACTTAGTTTCACTTGATTTAAAAAGTTAATATAAAGTACAAAATAGAATCATAGACAGAAGGAAAATCCCCAAGTGTTTTTTAATAAGCTTACATTACCAGGAAAAAAGTAATTTAAAACTAAAAGGAGGAATCATCCTTGCACATGGAGGGAGGAGGCAATTTTCATACTGAAATAATTTGATGAGGATGCCCAAAATATTTCCCATTTAATCATTCACATATTCATCCATTGAAGAAACATAAATTGAGAACGCCTAAGTGCCAGACATTATGCTAAGAGCTGATAATACAAGAGTAAGTGCTTATTACCTTACCTGAAACTCTACCATTAATGATTCATTCTTTTATAAAATATTGCTGTTTCTTAAAGACATATTATGATGGAAGGGCAGGAAGGTTGTTCATTTGGGAAACTATAGCTCCTTGACATCGGAGGCCAGTGTACTACACACAGCAAGGTAGAAATCCATATCTGTGGATGGAAAGACATACAGAAAGCAGGGTTCTAAGCGGCCTCCAAGAGTCCTATGCCCTTCTGTCCAGGACCTCTACAACCCTGTTGAGTGGAGGGAGAACCAGTGAGTACAATGGGATGTCACTCCCAGATCAGGTTACTAATCAGTTGACTCTGAGTTAAGATCTGATGAATATAGAACTGGTCACTTAGATGGTGGTGGAAGCAAAGAAGACAAAGACTTGTTGGATAACTTTGAGCGATATTCTGGATGGGTCAGGTCTGATGTAGTGAGTCTTTAGAAGAAAATAGTGTCAAAGAACTAGGATCCAGCTGGCCAAGAACAGAGCAAACAGCCATGCTGTAAACTGCCTATGGAAATCATACAGCAGGACCCACAGGTGACCTCCAGGAGTTGAATGTACTCTCCAACCTGCAGCTAGCAAGAAAATGGGAACTTCAGTCATACAACTGCAAGGAAACAGATTCTACCAATCAAAGATGACCCTTCACCCCAGAAAGAGTTGCTTCCATGCCTAGCACCTTGATGTCAGTCTGGTAAGACTTGGGACAAGGAACCAACTCACTTGTACCCAGGCACCTGAGCCACAAAAGCTGTGGGAAAGGACTGGAGACTGCCAGTTTGTAATGTTCTTGTTTTGTAAGCACAAGGACTGAGTGCAATCCTCACAACCCATGTCAAAAAAGGGGATGTGCCTGTAATCCCAGCACCAGAGAGGTGGAAACAGGCAGATCACTGGGCCTAGCAAGCCAGTTAGTCTAACCACTTGGAGAGTTCCAGTGAACAGCTCTGTCTTAAGACACACAAAAAATGAGGTGGTGCCTGTCCTCATACAAGTGTGCACATACAACATTGTGATGTAATAAATTTATATTGTTTTACATTATGTGACATTGTTGCACAGCAATGGGAAAACAATGCCATACATGCAAAGCCACTGTCACTTCTCCCATCCTGTCTAGGGCAGAGCCTGGTGAGGATTCTTCCTGCTTCCTTAAGGCAAACAGGCTGTTACTCTGTCAGAAGAAGCTATCACAGCAGCTCCTTGAGCATAGAAATATTGAATGTTTCCCCCATCTTGGGCCTCACACAACACCCTCCCTGCTCCTTCTAAGTCAGAGGCCATATCTAACTTTTCATCATTCCATTGAACACATTGTCAGTCCTCAAGCGTATTTGATGAATCAAATGCATTTCATCAAGAAGCCATTGTGAAACTGTGACAACATGCAGCCTGGGCCAGCCACTTAACCTCCTAGTTCACTGGCCTTGTCCGTCTTATGCTGTGGTAGCCACCACCTCACCTGCCACTCGAGGGTTTCCTAAGGATAGGTGAGTAACCTTGGGGAAAGCTATTTGAAAGAAGCAAACTATATTAAGCCTGCTTGTCATCTTTGTTTGTAATTATGCTTTTTCAGAGCTCACAATGAGCTGGAACCTGCCTAGTATAGGAATATCAGCTTTGGAATCAAATGGATTTGATTGCCGGGCCATGTCTGCTGAGCACAGCAAGAATGGCTGAATTCAGGGCTTGCCGTTCCTCAGAAACGCCTGGCCTGGGAATCACTTGCTTTCTGCTTCAGTGGTTTTCCTCAGGATCTGAAGACATTTTGACTAAAAAATGTTACACATATTTTTAAGAAAGGGGAGCTTTAAACAGGTTTTAAAACTTTCTAAATAAATAAATCCCTAGAATACATTCTTTCACCTTAAAAAAAGGAAGATAAAATAATTGCCGTGTTGACAGTGTATGAAAATCAGGCTTTTGAAGAAGAACAGCTTTGGGGCACTTCCTGTTTATTCTTCACAAAAATATCACTGGAAATTTTGTAATAGCAACCTGCCACACAAATCTTACCTGTCTACATTCTCACAGCTTCTGGGGGTGCCCCTAATAACAGCAGGATAAAACAATTAGCATCTCCCCCATCATGCTTCTGGTTTCTGTCTTGTCCGAAAGCTGACTGTACAAGTCCCTATGAGGATGGTGACACATTAGCCGTGCTAGCTCCTTCATGAAAAGAATTATAGATTTACCTCAGAAAGCTAAATCATTTCCTTTGCCTTCCGTATTTAAGGCAGTTTTGCACCTAGACAAAAAATTTGCTTTGCACCAAAGGTACAAGTATAACAACATGTAGGTTTTCCTTGGCTGAGTGCGTAAGCTTAAATCTGTCCTTTAAGCTATGAATTAAATGGTCACAGTTTTGTCAATAGGGAAAATCATGCATAGATAAGTGGGTAGTGCAGTCTTCAAAACAGTAACCCAAGAATCACCACCGCCACTCTGAGGTTATGTTCTCTTTTGTGTTCTCCTGTTTCCATCTCCACATTTGCTAGGTATGTCAAAAGATAAAGCAATTAGGATTTGGGTCATCAGCTACTAATGTAAAGTCTTGGCAAATATGGTAGATACAGAACAGTAATGAAAATTATTGTAGGACTGGAGGTATATCTCAGGGGCGGAGCACTTTCCTAGTATGTGTGAAGCTCTGTGTTTAATCCCCACCATTGAAAAAAAGTAAAAGACAATTACTCTGGTTGGAGAGATGACTCAGCAGTAAAGAGCACTGGCTGC